ACCCCAGCAGGTCAGAGAGAGAATGTTTAGATAAGAAGAAATAAAAACCTTGACAACTCGACTTCACGCATTCAGACCTCTCCTTCAGCTGCCAGGCTCGGGGAAGAGGATTTTCACACTGCTGGGGTCTCACCAGAGACCCTGACAGCCCCTGTGCCCCACCCGTGGCTCTGTCCCCAAACTGGGGCAGCCCTGGGAGCGGGGACCAGACCCTGCCCTGTCCCCAGCCCTGGGCACCCAGCAGAGCCAACCCCAGCCTGAGGGACTGTGCCTGAACAGTCTGTGAGTGTTGAATTTTAACATTTTACTTAAGAAACCTCTGCCATGGTACAAAGGGCATAGGAAAATGCAAATTTCTGAAGCTTCTTGCATAAAGAACAATGTCTAAGGATGCAAAGAACCCAGATAAAGAGGCTCCTCTGTCCCCAAGCCCATCAAGACTGACAGATGTACTCTGATAAGCACTGAAGGACTGAAAGCACATGTGCAGAGAGGAAAAGTTCAGAAGTTCAATCATGAGAAAAACCAAAATCTTCAGGCTTAGAGACCACCAAAGACCCTGTGTGACCCCCAAAACAAACCATGCATGCCCAGAAGGGCGTGGACCTATTTAGCAAGAGAGGCGGGGCCAGGGGCTGAATATGCATGAAAAAGTTGTGTTATGTACTGAATATGTAACACCTTTGTGAATAAAAGTTTGAGTTAGACTAAGGCTCAGGGCACAAGGTTCTGGAGAGATAGCTCACTTGTGCCAGGCGCTGGCAACACATACCCATTTTGTAACTGTTGGAGTCCCAAGCATCCCTCTGGCTGCCCTGCATGCCTCGGGACCCTGCAAAGAATCCAGGAACCTTGGCAAGATGTCAAAAACACCTGTGCCTTCGATTTTAGCCCATGGCAGAGGCTGCCAACCTTACATGAGAAATTACAAGCCAAAAGGGTTTGAGTAGTGTCATAGAAGAATTGTCACAGGGTGGAAAAGTAGAATTATGGGGTTTTTTTCGAATGTTATTCAGGGGACAAGATGGAGGGATTTGGGTGTGTCCTGACCTCCTACTTGTTCTCCTTGTCCTCCATGTCTCGGTGTGATGGTGGCACTTTTCTGTTGGCCTAGGATAGGGGCACACTGTCCAATGTAGATTTTAGGTATTGGCACAGGAACTGTAAACATGAGTATGTAACGTGGGAGCCACTGGGGCTGGAAGGAGACTGCCATGGCTTCTGTGCTGGCTGGACCTCGTCAGGTCAGAGAGAAACTCTCATAGATAAGAAGAAATAAACAACCTTGCAAACTCGGCTTCATGCACACAGACCTTTTCTTCAGCAGCCAGGCTGGGGAAAAAAGGACTTTCACACACACTGTTGGGGTCTTGCCAAGTAACCCCAGCAAATAAGTACCCCAGGTTGTGGAGTCTGTTTATTTATTCCGTGCATCGCTTCACCCTTGCCCCTGAGCAGGGCTGTGAGTGTGTGCTCACACCAGACTGGGAATGTTGGGAATGCCCTGAGACCCAATTCCTGCAGCATTCCCCAGAGAGCAAAATGCAAAAAGGAATAATTCGATATGTAGGCAGAGGGAAGAGCTCAGCACTCACTGAAACTTTCATTTAGTGTTACGTAAGAGTGAGATAATGATATCTAGTAATCTTCGTGGCACGCTCTTGAGTTTTAATTCACCCTGGATATTGGGATTATTATGACTCAGAAAACCCAACAGTGACTTCTACTTCCTTATTGCTGATTGTGCATTTGAAATTTGCTGTGTGTTGTATTTTTCAATCCCTTCTCTCCCAAGAATCATCCTTCCTACAGCACATTGCAAAGTCATAGAAACTGACTGCTTAAAAAATAAAAATAAAAGGTTGAAAATTTCATTAACATCAAAAGTATTTTTCATTATTGTTACTAAGGGCAGCTATGAAGATTTTAAATAAAAACAACCTTATTTTGTAACACCTGAAAAAACACTTCTGCTTACTCTCAAGGAAACATCTGGAAAGAGTGCAATAAAAAAAATTACAGATTCCTTGCAAGTGCAAAAGAACATAAATATTTGAAAACTGTAAATATCTGAAGTCTCTCTCTACAGTTCACTTATGGCTGAACCAGTCCAGTTTCAGACACTACCCTCACAGTAAACAGCCTGGCCTGCAAGGGCTTGCATCTCAAATCAAGGTGATTATTTCAGAAAGTGCCAAAGACTTTCAGGAGGTTAACATATATCCTTGGCTTTGCCCTTGTGCCTAAGTGTAGGCAGGGGAAAAATCTGTATATAATGTAATGTAATTAAGGAAGTCCCACTATCTCTCTGTGCAATACAATCCATCAAACCTTTATTTTCCTAAAAATATAATTTATATCAGAGCTACTGCCATAGTTCTACTAAAATAATTTAATTACATTAGCAGTATTCTAACATAGACTAGAAATATCTGGATAATTTACTTTCAGATATCTATCAGTACCAAACATTTATTTCATTGCAGGAAATGTGCTTTTTGTTATACCTGACTCAGCTGACATTTCAGTGATCCCTAAATTGATTTACACACCTTGTAAACTTCTGTGTTAGCAAATTCATGTCACTTCTATAAATACCTCTGGAAAACTATGCAACACAAAGAGAAATCCTCTGGGGAATTCCCTCAGTGAAGGATGTTGTCTGGCAGCAGTAGAGGTAATTGCTCCTGGTAATGTGTTTTGCTTTGCACATTCCGCAGTAACTTTTTTAAATAACCAAACACAAGAGGCAGGGACTGCACCCTCTCCCTCCCTCCCTTCCACCCAGGGGCTCTGCCAGGTTAGGCTGCTCACCTGAGGCTCTGAGGTCTGGAGGCAACACCTGCCAGAGAAAAGCACTAACATTTCTCTGCTGACAGCAGGGGAGCAGTCACAAAGCTCAATAAAGTGACAAACACTGCCTTTAAAGCATGGATGAAAGCCAGGGAGTGCAAAGTCTGTGCCTGTGTGTGCAGCACGAAGCTGCACTTCTCACAGCAGTGTTTCACCGTGTCAGAAATGTGCCGGGAGCAGAAGCCAATACCCTCTGCAGGCCTCCAAAAGCTTAAATGTTTGGGAAGTGAGACTTAAATATTCCTTTGAGAAGGCATCCCAAGACTAGGAAGAATTCCCACTATCACCAGGCACCATCTAACTCAGGCCACTCCTCTTTAACCTTAGAGGATCAAACCTGTTGACTTAGCTCACAGACAAAACCTGATTTTACTCTGATGTTACTCTGATGTTACTCTGATGTTACTCTGATGTTACTCTGATTTAAAAACAGGGCACATCTCCAAGATGATCCCACTACCAAAGCTGTACTTCACATTATTTTTAAGATGAAGGTTAGTGTGCTGAGACTGAAAAGACAATAAAAGAATAATTAACAAAAAAGACAAGAACAGCTTCTCAGCTCTCTTTGAGAAGGACTTCTGCTATGACAGAGAACCCCCAACTTAACCACAGCAGAAGGAATGAAGACAAAAATCCCTTATAAAAGGCTTTTCCCAGTTTCCCAGTACGTTTTGTTTCTTTATACCCCACGCACTCTCCCAAGGCTGAGGAGGGCCTGTCTGTCTGGATAATCTCCTGCTGCACAAATGCTCCCAAGACACGCCCTGGGTTCCTGCTCTGGAGCAGCAGAACAAGGCCCAGACACAGCTGCACTGTTCCTGCTGTGCTTTGTCACCAACGTGCCCCAAAACAGCAGCAAACACAACAGCAGCACTTTGCACCCCTCACAGAGCACCCTGTTCTCTAGGAATTACACAGCAGTGAATAAAACAGTGATTATCTGGCATGAATAGGAGAAGCCTCACAGGGACAGCCAGAAAAGCTCCCCTGTTGACAGAGCAGGGCTCACCATCATTATTTGTCTGCAGAAATGGAAAAATATGTTTTTTCACAGGCATTAAAGCTGTGGTTGCTCTGACAGCACCAGCAGCCCAGCAATACCAAACCCACTTCCCCAGGCTTCACTGCAGCTCTCCATTTCTTTCACTGCATGCAGGTCTTTTTTTCCTTCCTTGTCAGAGCACAGTCTGAATGCTCCCTCGAGGGTGAGGACTAAGAGTGCACTTTACACATGTTGGAATTTAGTAATGGCTCATTCATTCTCTTTGATGGCAATGGTCAGAGGTGTCCAGACCCACAGCACGGTGTCTGTGCTTACTTGCAGCAGAGGGCTGCATTCATCATGCCTCACAATGCCTGGCTTAGATAAACACACACCTGCAGTCACACCTTGCAAGATTAATTTTCCTCTTCAGCTCCTCCAGTGCACTGCAGAGTCTGGGAGGGGAAGCTCCCACTGATCCCTGCTGCCTGAATGGCAGAGAAACTGCTTACCAGATGTCCTGACACCTGAAGAGCCTGGAGAGAATTGTCTGTTTAAAGGTAGCAGATGCCTAGGACATGTAAAAAATCACTCCCTTTTCTGCAGTCCTTCAGGAAGGGGCTGCTCCAGTGTGGTCCCTGGCATGGGGTCAGTCCTTTATGGACAAATTCTGCCCCCAAACTGCTCCTGGAGCTTCCCAGGGGACCACAGCCCCCTCAGCACTCCCTGCTCTGGGGTGGGCTCCTCAGGGCTGCAGGGCAGCCGAGCCCACCACACCACTGCATTAGTTTTATAACACCATAGGCTGTTTGCTGAGGTTTAGGCATGTCAGCATCGCTGTCCATTTTCACAGCAACGTGTTTACTCTGCTTATTTGTAGGGAAAACCCATTTGCATATCGTATTCCCATAAGAAATTCGGCTGTGGCAACTGCAAATTTAAAAATTGAGAAGCCCTTCTGAATTTTTCAGATTCACTTTGTATTTGACAGAGCACTAGGGATGCCAGCTGCACACTCTCAATCGCCCCTTTCACTCACCCTTACAATACCCCAACATTATTATTGGATTTAAGTCTTTCTCCACACTGTGATCAGGAAGAAAGGGTGCTCTAAAAAAATTAGTGAACTTTTCATGCATTAATACGAGAACAAGGAAAAAAGTCTCTTTATAATAACCACTGTTAGCAGTTTCTGGCTGTACAGCAGAGTTGAGACTCAACAACATTTACAAATATCTCTTCAGAAATAAATACAATAAAGGTGAACCATATTGTTTTATTTATAAAACACTACTTGATAATTGATCAATAATTGTTTCATGGTTTTTGAACAAATTAGAACCAATCCCCATAGGCAGTTTGCAGTTAAGGAAAAGGGTGAAAAGGAAGGGATGTGGAGGGAGAAAATTACACATGATGCAGCATCTGTGATCTCTCAGAAAGCAAAGAAGTCAACTCAGTGCACCTGGAACTGATAAAATCCATTAATCTCCAGACATGTATTTCGCACCTTCAGTATCTTCCATCTTTAACCATCATTTGAGGATTAAAAACTGTCCTTTCTTTCATCCTTAGGTTCATACATATTTTTCCATTTCTGTAGTTCCTGAGAATTATTTATCTTCCATGCTTCAGCAAAGGACTTCATCTTTCTCCTGTGGGAGAAAAAAAAACCTAATCAAAATACAGACACATTTTTAAGTGAAGCACATCAAACCCTGAAAGTCCTACAGTCATCTGCAAAATTTTATACACAGTCCAAAATAGCACAGCTGAAAATGTTACGTGATCTTCAAACAAGTTAATATTTCCTAACATTCATGTTCCTGCTCTAGGTCAGCCAACAAATTAATTTCATAACTAACTTACAGCACCAGCAGCACTGACAAAATGATATAAACAAATGGTAAGAACAAATTGTTAAAGGAAATAAACAGCATTGTAATCAGCCCTGTTTAATTTTGATCATTCAGTTAGTACAAATTTGTATTTGTGGGATCATAAAAAGAAAGGACATTTTCAATATGAGTGCACACATCCTTCCTGTTTTTTCTCAGCATTTTTTGATTTGTAAGAGCTGTGACAAATTACAAGACGTTTAAAATGGGTTCACACACACTGCTGATGACAGTAATGTCAAAACTGGATGAAATTACCCCGTGGATTTTTTTAACATGAGGGTGATTTTAAAAAATGATACAAGGCGTTGGGAGACCAGACCCACTCCTGGGAACAGCAGTTAGGACCCTGCTCCAGATTTGTTTTTTTCCATTTTTGCCAATTACAGACTGATATTTCCAATTAGCATAAGCCACTGCATTATTTTTCCTATAAACTGTCAAGTACCTTCTAAAGTTTCTCTTTGGCTTTATTAAGAGGGGATAAAAAAACATCGTCAGGCGTTGAGCACTGTAGAGTTTCAAAGTTTGCACCTATAAATAATTAGTAGTCAAAATGTTCTCATGTAAAATTATCCTGTCAGGATTAGGTACAGCCCTCAGACAATCAAGATCTTGGTTTGTTATGTTCCTAAGGGGCTGTTTGAATTTTGCTCATAGGACTGCCATGGAAAATAACAGCAAAAGGAAAAAAAAATCCAGTGAAAACAGTTATGAATATCTAAACTGTGCACATAATGTTACAGGATTTTCAAATCCATTATGCCACTTGATACACACAGGAATTCTCATAACTACTCTAATATGTAAGGAACAAACACCCCTGAATGAAAATTTGATATCAGGGAAATATTAAAATCCCCAGAACTTTCAGTAAAATTCTGGGTGTTTGTGGGGGCAATCAAAATATATTATAAATACTTATTTTCAAGTTAAACCAGAAGAAGAATGTCCACATTTCCTTCTACACTGTAGTATGCAAAGACAATTCAATGTTCCAAAGTAAGTAATACATACTTTCTAAGTTAAAGTCATTACTGTTCTCACTATCACTGATGAGAACATAAGTAGGTATTATAGAAGGAAATAATTAAAGAAAAAATATCACATTTGTTCAGACCTTTTCATGTTCACTATTCTCTCCAACTCCTTTGATTTGTGAGCTGCTTTCTTCAAGATTTCTTCAGGAATATCTGCCAGTTTGGCAACATTTAGCCCATAACTCCTTGCAGAGACTCCTTTAGTTATTTGATAAAGGAAAGTGATAAATTCAGGATTCTCTTCCACTTCAGATCCTAAAAACACAAAACCAAAATCAAAACCTCCTCTATGTGGCAAATACATAAGTCCTCTGTCCTAATCAGCTTACAAGGTAAGCAGATAATACAATATGAAGAATTATTTAGGGGAAAGGTTAATGGCAAATAGCAATGGCAAGTCATTTAAAAAAACACATTAAAAATTTTTACAATTATTCAGTGAACAGGCCTTTATGATGCCTGTTGTAATTCTAGACCTGGGACCATCATGTTTCACAACAGTTTCAAAACAATCAGACGTGTTTTTTCACTCCATAGAGCGCTGAATTTTGGAGCTGCTTGGCACAGTAGGATGAAGACACTGAAAGTACACAATATTAAATCATGAAGCCCGGCTGAAATGAAATCCATGGGAGCTACAAAACACATCCTGTTCATGAAGCCCCATAAATAGCAAATGTTTCCAGCCAGTGAGATCTTTCAGAAAAGGAGCTGCCATATGTTTGATCCCTAATCCCTCCTCCCTAATCCTTTGTGTTTGGCTGCTGTGGGAAGTTGGATGCTGTGATGGGCGAATCTTTCACCTATCCCAGCTCAGATATCCTCCTGAAACACGTGAAGGAAAGCATGTCCAGTTTTCAACCCCCCTAAATGTGTGACTGGAGTGACAGTGGGTGTATCACGTTTAGGAGAGGTGTAAATTGTCACACTGACATCCTAGGATTTTAGCTTTTATAATTTTCATGTATTTGCAATCCTGCAGTTCTTTAGTGTATAACTCTGAATTTCATATCCAGTGCCAGCTGCTGCTGTCCCATTTTGGGCAGACACAGCAATTCCTCTCCAGGCCTGGCAATCAAGGACACCTCACTGCCTCAGGGCCCAGAAATGCAAACCAAAGTGACTTGGGGGAGAAACTTGGGGTAAATGCCTTCATTAGCTGAAGCTGTAATTGTTAGATTAACCCCCAATATGCAAATGGACCAAACTTATGAAAGTGTGAAACCTGTGACCCGTGGTTCATTTTGGGTGCAGCCCCTGAGGAAGGACTTTGTCTACCTGATATGTACCTGAAGGCTGTTCAATAATATACCTGCTTTTTATTCTCTTAACTTTGTCTGGCCCCTGTTTTTAGGTAGCCCAAAAAGCCATCAATAGCATAGAGCGACCCCTCAAAGTGCTGGCAACAGCCACTGGGGACTGCTGAGGTTGATAGGTAGGGATGGAAGAAAAAAAGTATTTGGCAAGGTCTGAGGAGGAAAATGGCTCTTAAGAAGACTTTGACTTTTTAGAAGTCTGTCCTCTGTTTTTAGGTAGCCTGAAAAGGCATCAACATCAGCGTTACTTTGTGGCTGAGCATAGAGGAATTTCTCATGGAACAAGGGCACGATATCCTTGGTGGTATTTCTTTGCAGGAACTGGACAACCCTGGCCTGCAGATTACAGATCTACTTTAGTTACTTTAGAAGTATTCAGGACATCCTTAAAAAGACAACAAGCTTTGTAGAAATACAGTGGTCAATGCTGGATGCTGAAAATTGTCATGTACTATAAGCTGATTCTAACACTTTTTGTGTAACAGCCAGCCAAGAAGTGATTTGTAGATGTAATCATATGACGTTATGAGTGTTGATTAGCTATTGTATTATGTAAAGCAAGAGGGTATAAGACATGAATAAATTAGACGATAAAGGAGGATGGCATCCAGCCATGCTGGTCTGAGTGTCATTCCTCCGGCCGGCTCCCGGTGGGCTGACAGCGTCCCACTGACCCGTGTGCTGCCCGGCATCCTCCTCGCTGAGCAGGAAGGCCGTGTGGTAATTGCCCACGGCGCAGGGGTACCGCTGCTGCAGCTCGCACACCGAGGGGTAGTGGGTGACGAACAGCGTCAGGGCCTGCACCTGCAGACACAAACACACAAACACAAACACACAAACACAGAAACGTGCTGTGGGCCCGAGCGCGGCCTCACAGAGCGGCTGTGCTTTCCCCACAGCCTTGGGGTGGACATGGCACCTTCCTCCATGGCCAGCATGGCCTCATGGAGCTCCTGTGCTTTCCCCACAGCCCTGGGGTGGA